GTGGTGGTGGTGGTGGTGGTGGTGCACACCTTTAATCCCAGCACTTGTGAGGCAGAGACAGGTGGAGGCCAGTCTGGTTTACAGATTGAGTTACAGGACAGGCTCCAAACCTACAGAGAAACCCTGACTGGAAAAATCAAAACCAAAAACTTAGCCTAGGGCCTGAAAGATAAATAGTAACTGAAGTTAAAATTTACATTCACATGTAGGCTTCCCAAGTAGACCACTAAAAGCCATGTCATGATCTGATAATTGTCAATAGTTAAGAAATAACCAATGCAGTTTTGTGGAATTAAATATTAGCATAGACCCTTACATTAAAAAAAAATAGATTTTTTTGAGTGTATATGTACCAAACTTTTTCCCCCACCCCCCTAGGAACAGGGTTTTTCTGTGTAGCTTTGTATACCATGCTGACCTCAAACTCACAGTGATCCTCCTGCCTCTGCCTTCCTAGTGCTGGGATTAAAGGTGGGAGCCACCACCAATGCCCAGCCAGACTTTTTAATTTTTACTGTACTACTGACAAAATAATTATGACTCACAAATGACAGGAAACTAAACAAATATATTGTATTTCCAAATAAGCTACAATTGTACATTTTGCTAGAGATCCAGAAATACTTGTTGGGTGAACCAATAATCAGATGTTATGATACACTGTGTCTTATTTTGCACCTGAATGATCCTAATTTCATTCACTGTCAAAAAAATATTGCTAAGGAACACAAGGTTAAAAGCATAAAAATTAGACACACTTCACTCACAAAGCACAGTACTTTAAAAGGTGTCATGTATAATTTATTCATAAGGGCATCACAGACAAGTGATTAAAAGTACCCCATGCACATCCGCATCTCAACTCACCTTCATTGGCAGAATATTTTACCAGTAAGATGCGACTTGAACTTAAAGTAATGAATACAACACCTAGGATGAATGTGTACAGCTTTGATGGGCCTACGCCAGGGCGTCTGAAGCACTTTCTTTCCATTCCACTGTTTTTTAATTGTCTTAAAAAGAACACCTTCATGAGCAACCCTGTTGCAGACCTAAGGATTAAGCACAATGCAAATAGTATAGACTGTGCATGACAGAAAAGGAAACCTGTAGATGTCTGGCCACGACTAAGGCAGAACCGAGAAAGCTGAGGGGAACAGAGGAAACTGAAAGGAAACGATCGATAATGACAAAATCTTACAGGAGGGTGGGTATTCTCGAGACAGACGGGGGATGTCCGGATTGGAAATAAGTTAGGAAGTAAACAACTGACAGTTTGAAGCTGCAGGAAAGTAGTTTATTCGCAATAACTTTGCTCCAGAAGGAATGGATTTTGGAATCTCTTTTTTTCTTGGGGTGGGGTGGGGTGGGGTACTCTCAGTAAACCAGCTCTACCTTGAGAGCAGAAAAGGAGCGTACTGGGAGCGATTCTTTTACGGTAACGACAACAGTGCAAATAGCTGAGACACGGCTACTGACTTTTCCTGAACCAGGATAGGAACGGAGGGCTAATCTCGGGTCAGTGAGCCTTTTATGACAGGTGGACACGAAACTCCAGGCAGGGTGAATACTTGCCGGAAGCGCATAAATACGATGGGCACATGGAGCCGATGAGGACCGCAGACAAAGGCCCCAACCAGGGACCAGCTGGGCGCAAGCGTGCAGAAGACCAGTGGGGTCAGCACCCCTCCTCCGCGGCCAGGCTTCCCTCGCTGTCAGGGAAACCCTCCCACACATGCGCAATAGCAGTAGCGGGCGGTACCCTCGCCCCTCACAAGCTCCAGCATCGCTCTGCCCGCGGGGCGCGGTTACCTCAGTCGCTCAGGGAAGGTTCTAGCGGAGGAACGGACATCGTAGAGCTGAGATAGTGACTGCCTAGCTCCGTAGTAGCAGCAGTAGGCTTTCAGGGCCCATTGGCGGGGAAAGCATGAGCCGGGAACAAAGGCGAAAAGAATCCCCTTCCCCAGCCGGCCTCCAGGGCTGGAACCAAAGGCTTCTCCCAGCCAGCGGGCGGGGGGGGGG